ACTGTAACATTGTTTTATGACCATCATACACATTTATAGATCGCTTTCCAAATGTTCTATGATCAATGAGCCAACAATAGAAACACGTGTGAAATGTTGACCTGAAACCGCTGTGAAAACTTTGGTGCCGACTTTTCTCAAAGTGGAAAGTGATACGCAGGATGTAAATGCATTCATCAACCAAACGCATTACAATTCAATCATAGGTCTAAAAACAATGTTATGTTTTCCCAGAGGACTGACGTTTTTTAAAAAAAAAAAATACAAAAGAACTTAATGTAACAAAAAGTTTGTTCATTTAACAAAATGAGCGTAAATGTGTTGCTTTTTCTATCAATATACAAGAAAAGTAAAATGGATAAAATGGAATATTGGTGAAGGGTGAAACTAAGATAACTGTTTATTTTTAGCAAATCTATTCCCGACTGACCAACGTTACAATTGTAAAAGCACATTGTCCCTTTAATTATTCCTTATTTCACCAAAAGGCTTATTTTAACAGAAAATGGCTGAGAGAGAAAAGCAGGAAACATATGTGTAAAGGTCAGAAAACTTCATACTTGGTTCCTGCTCAACCGCTATGCTCTTCTCAACAACTACAGTATATAGTGATACGCATGACCAACATTACTGCTGTGATTTTCATGCACATCTCCACACACTGTTCTGCAGCTTCACAGTTTGTCGGCATAGTCGTCTCCAAAGTCAACCATCAGCTTCAGAGCACTCAGGATCAGAGCGTTGATGTCTGAATTCAGCTGAATTTCAAGACTGTAGTTCTTCACTGGGAGGATGCAGTTCATTGGGATCCCCAGGCTGGAGCTGAAGTCACCCATCTACATAAAACACAATAATTGTTTTACTTTTTGTATATTTTTAGGGTTTTCTTTGTCCTGTTTAGAATAAATCTTTCCTTGACTCACCTTTCTCTTTAAATGTTTGCTCTTGTAGACGTTTTTCAGATCTCTTTCTGTTTCACCACAGGCTTTATCAACGTGGCTGAGAATCGCCAGCTGAGGGATTCCTGTGGATACAGAGATACAGACTCTAAGCATGGAGTTACTCAAGAAACTCCAAATGTATTTAAACAATATATTTAAATAACTATCACAGGAGTGTGATGAAACATTTATCCACCCATCCATTTTCTAACACCCTTGTCCATAGCGGGGTCAGGAGGGGTGCTGGTGCCCATCTACAGGGAACGTTTTGGGTGCAGAATGTTTATATGTTGTTTATGATGACATCAAAAAATATTTTCTGTACTGCAGAATAATAAATGCATATTGAATGTTTCTTACCCAGCTCACTGGCTGCTTCTCTGATTTCCCTCATCTTCTGTAAAACAGACTGATTCATTTGTGGCGCATTAGCATCATAGATGCAGACCAGAACATGAACTCTGTCACTGATGGATGGAGAAGAGATGTAGCCAGGATCACCATCAGAAAGAGAAGATACAGGATTGAACTGAGGAAAAAAAGATATGACGTATATTCAGTAATTTATTTTCCACAGAAAGCAAACAAATTATAATGCGTTTAGGAGAAGGACTTTTTAAAGCAGAAAAGTCTATATTTATACCTTATATCCTTCCTTCACGTGTCCCTTCAAGGCCAGTTTGATGTCGTCTGTTCTGACTCCTCTTCCATGTCCGTCCTCCAGACCCATGATGTCATTGAACACAAACGGATAAAAGTTTCCTCTGCCTTCTTTCTTGATTTTATAGGTTTGATACTGGAATACAAAAACAGTGTTTTATGTAAACAGCAGATATATAACTGCTGAGATATATTTCAAATTGAAGAGCTACAAACTTGCTTTAAAATACTTTTAATAAGTTTAATTTTCAACCTAAATTTATTTTTGCTGAATAAAATTCTGAGTAAGACAGAACTATAGTCAGTGGTTACAAGTTCGTAGCCACTGAGTGTCAGAAAGTGTGTATTTTCTGCCATGTTGCTGGGAATATTTCTAAGTCTAAAATGTGAATAAGCCTTTAAAATTAAACAAGGAATTATATTCACAATCTTGGTGAAACTTTGATCAGAGGTTGTGGAACTGGCCAGAGCTTCATGGGTCATTCTGCCCTGCAGGACGTTGTTGACAGAGTTGATGAAGCTGGACTTCCCAGCACCGACTGGGCCGTACAGCAGGACTCTGATGTGGTTTGCCTCCTCACTTTGAGGCCTAAAATTCTTCAAGTACTGAAGAACGTTCCTGTTGTCTCTGTTAAAATGGAAAATTTGAAATCATAAGTTCAGAAAATAGTTTTTACCATGACAAACAGAGCTGACTAGGCTCCAGGCAAGACCCTGAACCCCAATCAGCCTCCTGGTACTGAGATTGATGTACAGTAAATATGTGAACTTCTAACACTGGGAATTGGTGAATATGACCTGCAATTCACTTTGTGTGATCAGTATGTTGTGGAAATCACTACATACGTTCTGTTAGTTTACAATAAGCTTCAGCCAACTACCCACTGAAACACATTTAACTACTAAGAATCCAAAGTCTCTAATGAATCATTTAAATATCAGTTAAATAAGAACAATTGGGTGCAGTTGATTTCATACTGGCCCACTTTCACCTTTTGTAACTATAATATTACATGTAAAGTGAACATTTAAGACAAAATGTTCAAGTTATGGAGTGTGTTTTCATAGAAATATAGAAATTATGCAACATTACATTGTACACCACAACGCCACACAATTCATCGACTTGATTGAACAGTGGATAGTTGAACCCATTTCATCGCCTACATTTGACCAAACACGTTTAGCTGCATCGATCTCCAGAGCTTCTTCTTTCTAATTCCCTGCCCGTCTTTCTACTTCAATCAAGTGCACCGAAGTGCTACATCAGGTTGCATCTCCAAAAACAATAACTATCTCTGGTAGGCAACATCCTCTTAAAAACTGTTTTGTTTCATCTCTAATTATCTTAAAGTACAATTCAGGATAGTCAAAATGTAGCTGTCGAGTCAAAACTCATTTTTAGGTACTGGAATATAATTATGCCCCATGAAGGACTGGTGACCTCCGGCGGTCAACTCACCCATTGACCGCTGGAGATAGGCACCAACACCCCTCCTGGGATAAGGGTGTAAGAGGATAGATGGATGGAATATAATTATAATCAGATGAAACGGACTTTGTTAAATGGCCTGCCACCCTTGACTTCGTGATCGCAGGCCCAATGAAATGTAGAGAGAGAAAACCAGTGCTTGGTTCCCAAACTTTAAACAGGCCCACATTGAATTGTCCCAGTCTTCCTGATTAGGGCTTGTCTAATCCCTGAAATGTGTCATATTGTGATTTCTGTGGCAAAAAAAAACAATAACAAAAATAATGTTATGTAACTTAAACCAATGACCTGGTTATGTTATCAGGGTAAGCTGAAACTGCTTTGATGGCTGATTATGCTGAACCAAAAAAACTAAATTCACCTTCAGGATATAGATCTTAACAAGGCACATTTACTCACCCCCAAGTTATCTCCCTCCATGACGTTCTTAAAACTGTGAAGGAGAATTCACAGCAAAGTCTTACAACCAGAACCGTGTGTTGAAGTAAAACAATTCATTTCTTTATTGAGATAAGAAAAACACTTTCTGCTGTGTCAGCATGAATAATAAGTTGTACTCACGTGGAGATGGAGGTGGAGGTGGAGCTGAACAGAGCAAAGAGACACATTACTTAGGTTCATAAATGACTAAAAATATAATTAATGTTTATGTTAAAGTAATAAACACAATGGGTGTTCTTAAATCTGTAGTACATTGAGGCAGTGGTGGTGAATAGATTCAGTTTTACTCTAAAGTGAGTAAAGAAAAACATTAAAATGAAAAATACAGAGAAGAAACAGTACTTATATTGAGGAGCTAAACAAAACAACACAGGAAATAGTGAGTTAAAATTTCAATAATTATAATTCCAATACAGTTTCCATTGCTACGCTTTTCAGACAGTCCCTAACTATGATCCAGTGTTTATTCTCAATGGTTAACATGTAACTTTATTTCACTTTCTGCTATAAAAACATGTTCAAGATCAGTTTCATTTGAAGGGGAAAATAAAATTTGCTGAAAATATGCAACATATAGTGAAGTGAATCAGTGAAATAATCAATGTACATGTCACAACCAAAACAAACAAGAATGTAACTTACATGGTTGTGAAGAGTTACCTCCCATGACAGTAACAGGAAATACTCTGTAAACACAGAAAAAAAGAGCTAGGCCGGATCAACATCTGACTGCAAAACAACCAACGGCTGATCCTAAACAGCCCCGCTTGACCGCCCGATTGGAACTACAGCTCTTGTGGTTCCAAGGAGTCGGGTGGAACCGGGTCAGAAGTTCTAATGCAAACACGGTCGGCCCTACTTTGAACCGTGCCATTCCGTTCCTTTGCAGTGCGAAAACGGCTTAACTCTCTGTAATGGTTTGTCAGAGCTCTGTAAATCGACTCATTTGTTTTCCAGTCGTTTAGTGCAGCTGCTTTGTTACTGATAAAACATAAGGAAAAGAAACCTACCTTAGGAGGAGACGAGCTGCAGCAGAGAAAACCGTTACAGTGCTGATAAACGCGAACGGCTCTTTTAGGGTGCTTCCACTGTTTTACTTTCACTTTCATAAACCACCACGTGATTTACAAGAAGAGCACTCAGTGGAAAAAAGGTCGCAGTTTCCACGTGACAGAGCAGCAACATAGAAAATCTGAGCTTGTCAACAACTGCAGGATTTTTTCTGACCAACTAATCTAACAAGTATATGCATAATGAGTTGAACACATGAGTGGGATACAATGCATAAATATGCTTCACAAATACAAACATAATACCAGTAAAATGTAAAGTCATGCAAAAAAGAGATAAATCAAAGCTGTGTGGCCTATAATACAAGAGCTAAAGTTTAGAACACTAGAGTTTCTCAATACATATAATTTCCTCAGAGAAAAGCTCTTATTTATTGTAGGCACTACATACTCCAGCGGTTTCCAAACATTTTCTGCCCCCCCCCCCCTCCCTATTTATTACAAATAGCTTTCGCGTGTGTGCGCGTTGGGGGGGCGGGGGGAGGATTCTTAGAGACTCAATGTTTCTAACTTTTTTGGGGGGCAAAATGAATGTACTTAGCTGGACATGGACAACATCAGTAGCCTACAAGCTACTTGTTAAGCTTAAGGTGATGTATTGACATTAGCTAGTCATCTTTTAGCTAACATTACCTGCATCCAGCAGCTTTACTCAACTCAGTCGGTTAGTTTGGAGGGAAAAACTATGAAAAGTTCTTTGCGTTTTGCTGGTTTGCTGCCGTGATTCTAACACAAACCTACGTAGCTCCGCCCAGCAGCAGCAGGTCTCCTTCACAGGTGGAAACCCAGCGCGAGCGTCGTAGCGCTCATGTTGCATTTAAAGGCGGCTCGGAAAAACAGGTTACGACATGTTAACAACGGATTAAACAGTTTTAACTGCTGATAAAAGTGACAGAGGACACAGATATGGGAAGTGTTGAAGCCCCTACTGTATCAAATTGACATAGGAATGACAGAGAGTTGGCCATTCTAAGGTAAAAACCCAGCGCATACAGCTTTCATGTTTTTTTTTGTTTGTTTTGTTTTGTTGTTTTTTTACATCCAGACGGCTTCTCGCGCCCCCCTGCAATGGCACGGTGCCCCCACTAGGGGGCGCGCCCCACAGTTTGGGAACCTCTGACATATTATATCTGTATATTTATGTTCTATTATATTGCATTATTTCAAGTCAAACTTGGCATGAGTCATCAGGTCGGGATGCCTGATGATGTTATGTGGTCATATGCTGATGTCATCTAAGCATCATATGCTTAGATGACATCAGCATCCAAGCTTTTTTCTTGGAGAGCTTCACCTCTGACCCCTTTGATCTAATCAAGATGATATTGTGTCAGAAGACAAATAACAAGTTGGTCTCACTTGCATTAAAGCATAAAGAGAAGGCGTGGCTGTTGCAGCATGACAGGGTCAGACGTTATGCCGTTGATATACGATTGGCCCTTAATTCCTCATATTTCAGCCAAGCTGCACCACCCGCACTGTGAAGGAGAATTCACAGCAAAGTCTTAAAACCAGAACAGTGTGTTGAAGTAGATGGAAGAATTAGCTTTTCTAAATGATGTCAAATATATTAGTAACATGAGTCAAGAGATCAGTAGATAAAACAATTCATTTCTTTATTGAGGTAAGAAAAACACTTTCTGCTGTGTTAGCATGAATAATAAGTTGTACTCACATGGAGATGGAGGTGGAGCTGAAAGGAGCAAAGAGACACATTACTTAGGTCAACAACTGACTAAAAATATAATTAATGTTTATATTAAAGTAAGGGGATAATAAACATAATGGTTGTTTTTGTAGTACATTGAGGCAGTGGTGGTGAATAGATTCAATTTTACTCTAAAGTGAGTAAAGGAAAACATTAAAATGAAAAATGGAAAAAATAATACTTACATGGAGGAGGAGCTAAGCAAAACAAGACAGGGAAAATGTTCTGAGTCAAAATTTTAATAATTATAAACCCAATACAGTTTCCATTGTAAAGCTTTTCAGACATTCTCTAACAACTATGTTCCAGTGTTTATTCTCAATGATTAACATGTAACTTTATTTTACTTTCTGCTTAAAAAAAAGTTCAAGATAAATTTAATTTGAAGGGGAAAATCAAATTTGCTGAAAATCTGCAATATATGCAAAAACCTGAAATGAATCAGTGAAATAATCACTGTATATGTCTCAACCAAATCAAATTGTAACTTACATGGTTTCGAAGATCCACGCCCCATGACAGTGACAGAAAATATTCTGCAAAATACAGAGAGAGAGGACGAGGGAGAACTCTTTCACCTAATATATAACTAAAGAACTTAAACCTACTAAAATTAGTCTTTAGTTTCCAATGATTTTTCAAATCGCTCCTTAGGTAGCTGCATTTGTTTTTCAATCATTTGCTGCAGCTGCTTTCCTATTGATAAAAGGAGGTAAAGAATCAACCTGAGGAGAAAATGTGCTGCAGCAGAGAGAGAATCGTTACAGTTCTGATAAAGAGTTCAAGGTTCTTATAGTGTTTTCCTTATTTCCCTTTAGTAGACCAGGTGATTTCTCAGAAGATCTCAGTCATTTATTCAAATAGGTTTCAGTTTTTTTTAGGTGACACAGCAACAACAATCCATAATCTTCTACAAACTAAGCTTGTCAAACTGTTGTCTCATTGACTCTTAAGGCAGACATGTGAAAACATTTTTACACTTATTAATTCATGGAATAAATATATTTTATCCTGTGCAACTATGTGTGATTATTATTTTTCTTTTCTTTTTTTTTTCTTTAAAAACTGCAGCCAATATTCATCTACAGAAATTCATCTTCAAAAGTTAACCTGCAAAAATTTGCTGCAAAAAATTGTCTGCAAATGTGGCTATCTGGTGACCCTTTGCCAAATGAGTGAACACAAGAACAAATACGGTGGCTTTTAGCCAATCAATATGACGCTTCTCTGATCATGTGACAGTTAGCTGGTTGGCACAGAGAATCTTTAAAGTTCTTTCAAATTGGAGAAGGACATTATCTGAGGGGAAGGAATACATTTTGGTTATTGCATTGGGTTTCTAAATAACAAGTGTTTTAAGGTGTTAAAATGAAAAAATATAAAGCTCTACTTCACTAACTAAATATTTTATTCAGAGATAAATAAATTAGTCTGTAAACTTCTTTCATTGTCTCTGTTTTGCATGTTGCTATTAGCGCTAACTCCATCTCTTAAATCTGTAGCCGTAGTTCAGATTCTGCCATGTCTTCCTGGTGTCATCCAATGTTTTTAACCTGCCCACTCAGGAATTCAGGTAGGGATGCTAATTTTAGCCAGATTGAGGCAGTGGTGCCTCAATCTGCAGATGCCTCAATCTGGACTACATATATACTGTATGTAGTCTAAACAACCATTTCACAAGGCTACAGACAAGACATTATGTCTTGTTAATTTTTGACAGAATCACAAATCAGTAACCTTTCGGAGAATTAATTCTTAACCAATGTTAAACGGCAGACTGAGAGTGTGTTGCCACTCAGTGGCATCTCAAACAGAACGAAATATTCAAATGTTTTGCTGTTTAAACTATTTATTTTAAACCCAGAAAGAGAGCCCCTAGAGGTCAGTGAC